AGATTTATTTATTTATTCATACAGAACTGGGGTACAGGCCAGAGGTGCAGGGGATGAGAGGATTTACCAGAGACACAGTGGGAAGCAGAACAGGTAGATTGATGAAGTACACTGCTGAGGGGAGCAGCGGGCGGGTCAGGAGCCATGTGGATCACCTCCAAGGCAGGGATCGAATTTGCACTGAAGAGGCTGTGGCTTACTGGCAGTGCTGCATCCTAACCTATTGCACCATCAGGGATTTCATGGTGAATCTATTTACACTTGCACGATAAGCATGACTATGAGAGTTGGATATTTGGGTTCCCACTTTATGCTAAATTAGAAGTCAAAATTTAGAACCAAGTGGAAACCTCTTCTGGGAAAATCAGTGACCAGGAAGTGTTTCATAGCAATCTGACAGAGGTGGTGGGGGGAGGCATAAAATTATAAAAAAGACACAAGAATTAAGAGGCCATTTACTCAAGGGACAGATGACTTTTGTATCTCATTTGCCTTTGTAGTCATAGCGCTGTAATCAGTGTTTATAACAATAAAGTGAAGACAGTGAGAAAAGTAAATTTTGAACAGGGGTAAACTGGCAGTGGTTTGGAAAAGCTACAGTGATTTCGGAAATGATTCATCTTTTGGGGATTCAGATAACTGGACTTTCACTAAATTCCCAAAGCACAGTGCCATGAAATTCTGTGACTGACTTTCATTCCTGTTGGCAGTTATATCCTCTTTCCTTGATAACTGTGGATCAGGTTGGAGTGAGGTTAGGGGCTTGTATTAGTTTGCTGCCATAACAAAATACCATAAATAGGGTGGCTGTGACTGCAGAAATGTATCACAGTGCTGGAGGCTGGAAGTCCAAGATGAAGGTGTCGGCAGCTTTTGTTTTTCTGAGGCCTCTCTCTGGGGCTGCAGAAGGTTGTCCTCTTGCTGCCTCCGACCTGACGTTTCCTCCCTACATCAGCCTTCCTGGTGTTTGTGTCCAAATATCCTCTCCTTATCAGGACACTAGTCAGATTGGATTAGGGCCCACTCTGCTGCCTCATGAGCCCCTTCTTTATATACCTTATCTCCAAATACAGCCACATTTGATTTCTATTTTTTATTTTATTTTTAAATGTATGTATTATATCAACCTTCACTTTTGTACAATGTCTGATTACCCTGTGAAATCCCCACCACCAGTTCCCCTGTGCACCATTATCATAGTCCCTTGTGCTCTTCCCACTCATGTCCTGTCCTTCTTGCTCTTCCTCTCCTACAGAATGTCTCTGATATATAGCTCCCTGATGATTTTGATTTTTTTTATTATAGTGACTTCCCCCCCATCCTTTATTTTGTTCTTCTACATTCCTCGTATAAGTGAGAGCATTCACTACTTTTATTTTTATTTCTGTCTTATTTCACTGAGCACCATCCCTTCTAGCTCCATCCATGTTGCTTTGAATGGCATGACTTTATCCTTTTTGAATGCTGAGTAATATTCCACTGCATAAATATACCACATCTTCTTGATCCAATAATCTATTTTTGGGCATTTGTGTTCCTCCCATAGTTTACTTATTGTAAATTGTGCTTCAATAAACATAAGGATACAGGTGTTCTTTTGAATTAATGTTTTTGTGTCCTTGGGGTAGATATTTAGGAGTGGGATTACTGGATCATATGGAAGCTCTATTTTTAGTAGTTTGAGGAAACTTCATAAGCTTTCCATAGTTACAGCCACAGTTTGAACTACTGAGGCTTAAAGACTTCAACCCACAACATGGCCTGATTAGAAGTAGAGGAGAACATGAATTAAATGTGGGAGAAAAAATAAAATATTCACAAGTGATCCTGGAGCCGTAAAGACCTACACTGTGCTTGTGATTTACTATACTGAGATGTCATAGCAACACACTGGTTTGCATTTGAAAAAAACTAGCTAGTTCCCTCATCCCATATTCTAAAACAAATATACATAAAATCCTAATGGGAGGCCAAGGGCTGAGTTGACTGCAAAGAAAGGGTTCTTTGGAGGAGGGGAGGTCAGAAGGTCGTCTGTGTGCACCATCGCTTATGTCCACGATGGTAATGTGAAAAAGGTCACTCTTCTGTCATGCAGCAGAACTGGGAGACTTTCATGAAGAAACAGATAGGAAACATCTGGCACAAACCCGGTACTTACCGAACCAGGACAGTTTAGAAAACAAGATCATGCACTTTCACCAAAAGCACATGTAAGTAGTTCACCAGCATCTGCTCGCACCCGCAGGGAACAAGAAAGCTGAGGACTGACGATTAAAGGCAAGTCCTGAAGTTAGAGAAACTTCAGGGTCAAGAATCTGGTGCTCTCCTGGGGCTCTTGGGGTGGGGGTGCCATCCCTGCTGCATTTATTAGGCTCATAAATTCTTTCCCCTGCCAGGGGCAGGAGCCCAGCCGAATCTGACGTCCTCCTGCTGGACATCGCGCGAAAGCTGGAGATGTACGGCATCAGGCCTCACCCCGCCAGCGACGGGGAAGGGCTACAGATCCACCTGGCTGTGGCACACATGGGAGTGCTGGTGTTACGGGTAACAGAGCCTTCGTTTAACGCTCTTCAGCTTGGGGTGGGGGGTCACTCTGGCTTCAACTTGGGTGGCCACTCCCAAGGCGACCTCCCAGTCTTGGTCTTACCACCAGCCAGCCAGGGAAGTGTTGTCGGCCAGTCCTCTTCTGCCACAGGCCATGCTTCTGCTTCCAGTCTATAGCTGACTGCTCTGATGAGTTCACATGGTAGGTCAGGCCAGCAGGGTGGGGCACAACGCTGAGACAGTCTAAAGCTTCTGGACACTACAGAGGAATATGAATTCTGGTGTCCGAAAAGCTTAGGCTGTGACCGAAGTGCTTTCACGTTGTCCAAATCTACCAGGAGCAGCCTGAAAAGTTCAAAACATGGTGTCACTGATTTTCCCAGAGGTACCCAGCGCAAGGGGTTAGAGATTTGGTGCCCAGCCTTGCGAACTACCATTGTGTTTACTGGCCCATCCTTTCCCCAGGACTTTTCTTTCCAGGTTCATGGCCAACTCAGGGCTGGCTGGTCTCTGTCATGTTAATCCTCTCTCCAGGGAACATGGCCAGGGGGCTGTTTTTCAGCTGGTTTTGGTCTATTAGGTCTCCCTGCATCTGTGAGGATTCCATGACTTTAGAGCCAAGTTCAGATTCAAGAACACTTTATTAACCATCACATGAGAGGCAGATACTTCTACATATTTGGGAATGGATTATTTATAAAAGCGAAAGGGTGCCCTCAACACCCCTGGCCTCCAGGACTGGAGCTTAAAAAGAAGTTGTAAAATGCATCACCTATAGATCTGGCTAAAATAATTTTGACTTTCTCACTTGTTTGGTTGTAAACTTTATAGGACAAGGGTCACATGGCTGGGCAAAAGGCCCATGTCCCACGGGCATACCTGTTCACCTAGGAGGGAATGTTTACCCATTCCATCTGGCCTCTGAGCCTTGCCATTTCCTGCTGTATAGGAGAAGATGGGGAAGGCAGTGGAGGAAGGCCTTCATGTTGGCTGTGATCATTCGGTATGAACACTTTTCTGGAGGGTTGAAACAACATAATCAGTCTGTTAGACCAGTATAATGCTACCCCTAATCCTATCAATACTTATGCATTGAATACATTCTATGTGTTCTTGATTGGCCTACCCTTTCTTTTAAAAATCAGCTTTGATGTGTATTTTTTATATCATAAAATTTACTTATTTTAAATGGTTTTAGTAGTTTTATGGAGTCAATCAGCACTCCATTCATCTTTCTGTCAACATATTTATTGTGCATACCCTCTGTGTCAGGCACTATAGCTAATTTATGTCTTCATAAATAGGAATGATCCTGGCATATGGAATTTGCATTCTAGGAGGGGAAGGCAATTAAGCAAGTAATTGTAAACAAGCGTGAAGCATGTCGTGCTTGAAGGCTGAACTAAGATAACCCATGTGGAAGGGATTTAACATGGAAGACTTAAGGAAGCGACCAAGATCAAGGGGATAAAGTTAGGAGGTGAGGGAGAGTATTCTAGAGAATGGCACGCAGATAAAGATAGCATAGTCAAGAAATGGGCTTTAACCATGACTTCTCCTGTCTTTAAGATGCTCACGCTGTGTTTGGAGAGAGCAGAGGAAGAATGTTCCTCATCAAACTATAAGTCATCAACAGCTTCTCACATTGTAATTGTACCAAAAGCATGCACAACAAACTAACAAATTGATTACTTGTAGGGACAGATAGGTAGATGGGGACAGAGGTAGGAGTGACAATATATACCTTTTTGCCTACCTTTGATTTTTGAGAGCTGTTTGGAGGTTCTAGCCAAGAGCGCAGCTACGTTTATACCATTGACTGAAGAATGGTACACCACTACTAGAGAAAGGCTGTTTTCTTTGACTGAGCATGGAACTTTGGTAGGGACACACATGGAGGGAATGGGAAGAAGGGGACACTACCTAGCCAGTCAGATCAGTTGAATCAACCCTGGTGATTGATGGGGTGACAGATGTCATAACTAGATCATCCTCACATCCTACCTTTGATTTTTGAACATGTGAACAGATGAAAAAAAAAATCAATCAATAAATAAAGTTTAGCTATTTAGGCAGCCTAGGGAAGCTAAGGGTACTAAAGAGGTAAGAAATGGAAGTAGGCTTTAGTAAGTCTAGAGCATGAGCCAGAGGAAATGCTATATATGAACTGCAGGAAAGTTTGACTATGGTGAAGGAGGCATTCTGAGTCAGGAAATGAGGTGGCCTATGAGGAAAAGATAGATAGATGGAGAGTTGGATAAGTGGATGTTTCATGGGAGCAGCAGGATAGAGGTTTGCATACTTAATAGAACTGGGACAGGAAAATCCAGCCAAAAGAACTTCGATTTGATGATATAGCCAGTGAGTAGCTGTCAAAAGTGTTTGATTAGATTGGTGACAGCATGACCAGGACTTTTAACAAATAACTGAATTTGGAAACGTGGAAGGGGTGAGATGAGAGATGCTGCTGTCGTAAGCCTTCCACTGTGCTGTCCTATCCTGCTGAGGAACCTCTCCCAGGCACACCCGTTCTTGCCTGCAATTGAGCAGCCTTGGTCCCAGGTAACTTCGTTGGCCATATCTTCCAGCTGGTATGAAAGAAGCCGTCTGTTCAAGAGACATGTCAAGGATAGTCTGTTCATGAAGCGCATTTTCTAACAAGTCGCATTGTCTTATAAACCAAGCTTGTGAGGACATTCATCTTTCCATCTGCCATGTTACAGGGAAACACAAAGATCAATACTTTCAACTGGGCTAAAATTCGCAAGTTGAGTTTTAAGAGAAAGCACTTTCTCATCAAACTTCACGCCAACATCTTGGTATGTAGCTTTCTAATAAATTCTTTTGCTTTCTGGTCACTTGGGATTTCTTGGTTGTTTCTGCAAATGATTTGAGATATGAGTGGTGAAAGCTGACTGGCCCTGAGGGGCAACGTGTTCCCTCTTTTGTCTCTACACAAACAGACCAGAACTTTAGGCATATTTTTACCAAAGGCAAAATGCTAAGGCATCCTATTGGTAGTTCAGATGAGTGATAGAAAAGTGGGTGGTCAGGGTAAAGAGAAGTCTCTTTGGAGACCATATTTCAGGCACTTGATAAATCAGATGGAAGTGGCTATATCCAGGACTATGGACACATCATTTAATATGATCTGCTCCATTTTATAAAGTGCTTACATTCTCTTTCCTTAAGCAGAAATAATTGAGCACCTACTTCATGCCAAAGCAGGATGTGGTGGGCGGGTGTCTGGGAGCAAAAGGAGCAGTTGTGGGTCAAGGCTGCATTGTAATGGGTGAAACAAGGGTGCGAGAAAGGATATTCTTCACTGACTGATGAAGGAAGTGAAAACTATGTAGCAATTCATTTTTGACCTAAAGGAAACTATCCAGTGTGAAGCTCATGGAGAGTCTCAGTGTTGCAGACAGGAATCTGGAAAGCAATCAGAGCAGAGGGACCAACAGGGTGGGTTAGGGGAACTTCTGAAGCCAAGGCCGCATGCATGCCGGAAGACTCTGGGCTAGTGGAATATAGTGAGTTGGGGGATGTGTAAAAGTTGAGCTCTAGGTCTGGAAGTCTAAGCTTCCCTAAACAGACTAGAAAATGCTAAATAAACAATAAAGAACATCATAGAACAAAGCAGTATTGACAGGAAGAAGTGTTTCTAGCTGGTACATTAAAAAGACTCATGTACAAGCTATCGTCCTATAAAGCCTGCCATCTGTAAGGAAATCCTTCCTCCCTCCCCTTTCCGTTGGTCATTTATAACTTCTTGTCACCTTGAAAGGATACCCTTTGATGTTCATTTTAACTTAATTTACAACTTCATAAAAATGTTCCTGGCAGAGATGAGGAGGTAAAACAGCATTTGAGGTGAGAGAGGCGTGCAAAGCCAGATTTGCTTCTTAGAGAAGGCTCTGTTTTTGAGCAGTGGCCCTGTCTGTTCCTCGGCAGGTCGCCAACCATTTGGTTTCAATAGGTGTGAAGCCTATGGGGAGCCAAGGAGAGAACCAGGAGCTGCATAGACCCCGGACTAATAGTTTGGCATGCTTGGGGATTTGAAGGTCTTTGATATTCTTGGAAGATGTTTTCCTTGATGGAAATTGGTTTATACAGGTGTTGTGCAAGGACACCTTGGAGTTCACCATGGCCAGCCGAGATGCCTGCAAGGCTTTCTGGAAGACTTGTGTGGAGTACCATGCTTTTTTCAGACTTTCTGAGGAGCCCAAATCAAAGCCCAAAACCCTACTCTGCAGCAAGGGGTCCAGTTTCCGCTATAGGTAAATATTGTATGCCAGTGGGCAAATGACACATAGCACTTCTTTCCAAGAACATGGAAGCCAGTGGGAGGAGCTTGTATTCTAGGAATTGTAAGGAGGCCATTTCAACCAATCAAAGGTTGAAGAGAAAGATAAGTACTGGGAGGTGTGATGAATATGTGGAATATAAAGAATCCAAATTAAGGGTCAGATCAAGACAAGCTTCAACTGTGATCCTTGAAAGCTGATGATAGAACTGAAGCATTCAGAGTGCTGAGGGGGTGAGGAAGGGGGCAAGAACTAGGAAGGACGCACAATACACTTTGGTGATTGATTATGGGTAATTTAGCGGTGGGTATACTAGGGGGGCAATACCTGATGGGGGTGCCCTGATACTACCTAAATTAAAAATAAATTAATTAAATAGAAAGATAGGTTCTTTCATGCTCAGTCTCCATGTGACTCATCGAGTCACTATTTTCTATCTGGAGTGGGAAAGGGAAGTAGCCTCCTGAAGGGTTAAATCTGAGTCTCTTCCAGGATGGGGAGAAAGTATTCAATGACCCTATCATCTTTATGGTCAATCCATGGAAAGGGCAGCGCAACCACATCCTTTTGCTGGTGCTGTGACAAAAAAGGGCTGGAGAAAGCACCTGAGGTACAATAAGGAATAAAAGGCCTGAGTGGCAGAGCAGGAGAGGCTTCTCACTGGGGATCCAGCTGTGGTGAAGGGAAGTGAGGGAGAAATAAGATCTTGTTTTTACTTGAACACGCCAATCAAGGAACTTTTTGGAAAAGCTGTAACAACTCTTAGCTAAGATAGAAAATTCTAATCAAATGCTTCCCATCGGGGATGTTTCCAAGGATGAAAACCTGCCTCAGTAAGAACTGAGATTTTTAAAAAAATGTATATATTTTTGATGGAATCTTTCCAAAATGTATTCTACAAATCCCTGCCTCCTTAAACAGATAACACTGAGCCTATTTTGTCCTTTTCTTAATGACCTGGGTTATTGTAAACATCAGGTCTTAGCCTTCACAGACAGCTGTGACCATGATGGCCTTGGAGCCAGGGAGGACGGCCAGATTCCATACCTCAGTGAGAAATGGCCCAACTTTCTGGATTTCATTATTCTTGTGATTTCTTTTGTGGCCTTTGTGTCTTTTCCAGCAATCACCTGGCTTTCTTTGCCAGTGTGTATTTGACGGGATTGACCCCCTTTTATTTAGTTAGCTGTTTTTCTTCTGTTGCTCATTAGGAAACCAGATAAATAGCCTCATTAGAAATTGCACATAAATTGGAAGGTAGGGAAAAGGCCTCTAAAAGAAAGTATATTACCACTCAAGGCTATAATTTTTAAATGTTACATAGTCCTATACAGCAGCTGATAAAAAAAATAGTCTGTTCAGGGACCTCCCTGGTGGCGCAGTGGGTTAAAGCACTGCACTAAGAAGCTTAAGCCACTTCTGCATGAATTAGATCCCCGCCTGCCCTGGAGATCCACATGGCGCGGCAGACCTCTCCTGACCCGCCCGCTGCTCCCCTCAGCAGTGTACTTCGTAGAGCTGCCTGTTCTGCTCCTCACTCTGTCCCTGGTGAATCCTCTCACCCTTCACATCTCTGGCCTGTACCCCAGTTCTGTATGAATAAATAAATAAATCTTTAAAAAAAATAGTCTGTTCAGAGTGGTTGGCGCTGAGCTGTGCCTCCTTCTCAGTAAATGGGTAAGTGTCATTCACCAGACTGGATTTCAGCTATGAATGACGTTTTCGAGACTTGATAGTCTACTGGCTTATGAGTAGCACTATTTTTTAAAAAGATTTATTTATACTTATAGAACTGGGGTACAGGCCAGAGGTGTGATGGGTGATAGGATTCACCAGAGACAGAGTGGGGAGCAGAATAGGCAGATCTATGAAGTACACTGCTGAAGGGAGCAGCGGGCGGGTCAGGAGAGGTCTGCTGCACTCTGTGGGTCAGCTCTGCAGTGGCTTCTGAGAGCTTTATAATGCGGTGCTTTAACCAGTTGTGCCACCAGGGAGAGCCCAGCACTAATTTTTTTTAAAATACCTTTAAAGTTTTTTTTTTTTTTAAAGATTTATTTATTCATACAGAACTGTGGTACAGGCCTGAGGTGCAGGGGTGGAGAGAATTCACCAGAGACACAGTTGTAAGCAGAACAGACATATTGATGAAGTACACTGCTGAAGGGTGCAGCGGGCAGGTCAGGAGCGGTCTGCTGTGCCATGTGGGTCACCTCCAGGGAGGGGACTGAAATCCCACTGAGGTGGCTGCAGCTTGTTTGCAGTGCTGCGCTTTAACCCACTGTGCCACCAGGGAGAGCCCAAGAAGCACTAATTTTATCTCTTTCTTCCTTAACAGTGGAAGAACCCAAAGGCAACTTCTGGAATATGGGAAAAAAGGGAGGTTGAAGAGCTTGCCATTTGAAAGGTACATGGTATTGTTCCTCTCCCAAGTGTTTATTTTAGGTTGAATTTACAGATATTTGTATATATCCTGTTTCACACAACCCTTTGAATTCCTTCTGTGTTTGGGATTTCAGGAAGCATTACCTGTCTCAGTACCACGAAAGACAGTGCAGGTCCTCGCCAGACCTTCTCTCTGATGTGTCAAAACAAGTAAGGTTTCTGACAATTCCTATTCCTTAGGTAGCTATAACGCTTCTGCACTTCAAATACTTTCAAGAATTGATTGCAGTGTGTAAAAAGGTTACTGTGGTCAACTAGTTTACGCCCCCAACTCCTGGGAGGTCAATCACCTCACGTTTTCCCACCAATGGAAGGCTATTTAGTAAACCGCCACTGGAGTGTACCTTTCAGACTGGAAGAATCTGACAATCTTCATTAACAAGCTGCTTAGCCAAGAACTTGCAAAATACAAATGAACTTCTATGACTATGTGTTTTTTAAACTAAGAGTTCTGCTTTTTTAACGTGTGAACATTTTAAGGATTAAAGAAAGTTATACTGCCTTGGGTGAAAGCTTTAAAATAGTCTTTTCTGTGTAATTTTGTAACTTTAAGAACAAAGTGCTATTCTCCTGGAACAGAGCAACTATGTTTTCATTTGCGTTTTAGAAGTTGAACCATGTAAATTATAACTACAAGTGTCATAAGTGCTCATGTTTTTGTTCAAGTCAGGCAGTTTTGAATCTGCCTTTCAGATAAAAGTAGCAGCTAATGTATGAACCTCTAAAGCTAGTCACCATTTTACAGGAACCAGGGAGGAGGCTGGAGAAGGAAGTTTAGACTTGGTCACACAGCAAGTCCAAGGTAGAGCAAGGGCAGAAGTCATCCACACAGCTGCTAAACCATATCATTGGGGTATAGTACCAGCTGGAGTACACAATGAACTCAGAGGCTGGAAGTGGGGTGGCAGTAAGAGACAGGTGTAGCATTTTATCACATGAATTGGTGTAGGGTCCATGTTATTGTTATCCCTTTATACATTTATAGTCCATGGAATAGAATATGCATTAGAATGGCTTTGTGGAAAGCTGCCTTTGCAAAATTCAAGGCCAAGTTAGATTTCTGCTGAAGCCTCAACCAGATGGCTATTTTCTTTCTTTCACTGCTATGTCCTTTTTCTCAAGGTGAAAGACTTGAGACTAGCCTGTGGCAGCGCATACTACGGAAATGTGAATGGAGTGCATGCATCTGAGCCTCTGCTGGACAGCCGGAGGAGGAACTCTGCAGTGGAAGTGACTTTTGCAGCTGAGCTGGAACGTTCCAAACCAGAGGCAGATCCCACAGCGCTACATCCCTCCCAGAGCAGTTCCTCTTTCCCATTTATTTACACAGACCCTGTCCTCAACATTGACCTTGATCTTGACACTGACCCCAGAGACTACTTGGAGGAGAGGAGTCCTCTCAGCTCCTTTCAAACGGGCTGTAAGTTTGCTGACAGCCACATGAGCCCGTCTTCGGGCCTTACAAGCAAAGTGAGTCCTGCCAGACAGCTAACTTACACAGATGTTCCCTATATTCCTTGCACTGGCGAGCAGGTTGATATTATGCCTCCCCAAGTTTTTTTTTATGTAGACAGGCCACCCCAGGTGCCCAGGCGTTCTCCAATCATAGCAGAGGAGAGGGCAAGGCCAGACAGCTTTTTAGAGCCCGCTGCAATGAAACCAGCCCGAAGAAGCCCAAGAAATCTCAGAATGAAGAACTTCCAGCAGGACTTCCACGAACGCCAAGAAGCCATGGCCAGGACAAGTGGTAGGAGCAACATTAAAGTAGATCGAGAAGAGGAAGACTCAAATATAGGAGATGCATTTGCATATAACATTCAGAAGCAGCCTCAGAGCCAATCAGACATGAAAACTATCCGTTTTCCTTTTGGGTCAGAATTTAGACCTCTAGGGCCTTGTCCCGCTCTGAGCCGTAAAGCTGACCTGTTTACATATATGTTTGCAGAACAGGAGCTTCCAGCTATTCCAATGGATCGAGCAACAGCTGAAAGGCATGTACCCAGTGAATCCAGTGATTCTGATTCAGAGATTCTTAAAACAGACTACTTCTCATTGTATGGCAAGGGAATCAGTTCACCCATGGCCAGAATCCGCCTATCTTCTGGAAGTCTACAGTTAGATGAAGAAGATGAAGATAGTTCTTTTAATACAGCAGCTGCGGAAGACAGGACTTTGCTAAAACCATGTAATTACTTTTTAGCTTAAAAGTGCGAACTCCATGAGTATTTCTCAGCTAGTTCCATGCTACCATCTTAGTTTAAAAAAAAAATGCATAAGTCATTTTTTAAATTTCTATTCATTGGTATGAAGAGAACCTCTACACTTGGTCAGCTAGCTTATGTCCCTCGTGCCATTCCTCTCTTCCTCCTGAAGGGGCTCTGGACCTTGTGCTCTTTCCTCACTAGTACTGTGGCAGGGGAGGCGGGTATTTGTCACCTCCATCAGATGTTTCCCCAGAGACACTGAAATGAAGGCCAACCCTGAAGAAGGGTTGAAGACAGTATGCTTTAGCATGTAGAATCGACTTCTGATGTGTTATGACTTAGTAGATTGTGACTGTGCTGGTCATTTATTTGTTACATAAAGCCACGTCTGAAGGATTCAGTGCTCCTTGTTTTTTATAGGGGGCAGTAAAGAACAATCATGTCATATGATAAGGACTTCAATCTTTACAACACATAACTTAGTATGATTACAGCATAATATAGGGAGCACAACCCTCTTGCACATCAGGAATAACACAGAACCTCTCAACAGAATGCAAGTCTGTGATTTATCTAACACTTGGCAGAATTCTAAACATCAGACATCCATGAATTAATCAATTTCTAAAATCAGATAAATGCCTGAAGATATTAAGATGTTGGACTTACAACTTCTCTGTTCTTCACTATATTATATGTAGTAAAATATAAAGTTAACATTTTGGCTTGTTTATCTGATCTGTCTTGCAAGATTTTCTTTTTGCCATTAGCTTGATGCATGTGTAGGCAAGAAAATGAGATGAATATTATTTTAATAAAGTGATGGAAATCCATTTATTTAAAAAAAATATGACCTTTTTGTTTTAGTCAATTGTAGAAGTGATGGCTTCTTAGCCTATTGCTAAGAAGAGGGGTAGAAAACAAGAAAAAGGAGGGAGACAAGTGAATATATAGTCAAGGACAGAGTGTGCAACATTAGGATCATTGAAAAGAAAAAGGGATGGGTTCAGAAACCAGCCTGAGTCAATGAACCAAAATTCTATTCTTGACCCATTGACAATTTCTCTACTACTCCTCTTCAAAAAGATAACATTCTACTTGAGAATTTCATTTTATTTTTATGGTAAGTACAACATATTTGCAAGATAATGTTAGATACTGACTTCAGAGAAATGATGCAGTTATGCAAGCAAGCTTTTTTTTTATATGTATGACTTAATGGTGTTAAAGATATATGGAATAGTTTCCTTTCTCTACTTCTTACCTCTGAAAAATACATTTCAGTATACTCACTGCCCCTTTTCCACACTTGAGTGCCTGCCTTTCTGCCCCTTCACTGACAACTCTAGAGCACCTACTAAATGAAAGAATATGTCACCTTTATATTAATCTTAGATTTGGAAAGCTACTATTTTCTTTTTTAAAAAAGATGATTTATATATGCATACATAACTGGGGTACAGGCCAGAGGTACAGAGGCAGTGAAAAGATTCGCCAATGACAGAGTAGGGAGCAGAACAGGCAGATGGATGAAGTACACTGCCGAGGGGGGCATCGAGTGGGTCAGGAGTGGCCTGCCGTGCCATGTGGGTCACCTCTCGGCCTGGGGGGTGGGGATCGAACTCACATTGAAGTGGCTGCAGCTAGCTTGCAGTGCTGTGCCCTAACTCGTTGTGCTACCAGGGAGGGCCTGAAGTTTATTATCAAGCTTTTCTCTAGGAAAAACTCAAATTACTTTATATTCTGTTTTTCATCTCAATTTCTGAAAGTCTTTGTGAAATTGTTTTCCCCAAAGAACTACACAGATCGAATCTATGTAAGATTTCTGAATAAAATTATAATATAATTAGGTTGACCACCCAATTTATTATCTAACTTAGGACATTTTTTAATGAAAGGGGAGTCTGTTAATTCATCAATTATCAGGAAAGGAGGTATAAATCAGGACAGATATTCACTGTATGTAGCTGCACTCAATGTAAAATGTAAAAAAAAAAAAAACCTTGTAGTCTTCAATGAAAACATTAGTGTTAAGTTACCTACCATAAAATAAAATGCAAAGAAGAAAATATTTGAAACAATGAAAATATCACACCATACTCAAGAAAACAGACATTATAAGGATCATGAAATTTAAATATTTATTTTTAACCCCCCTTGACACACTATAGTACGCTTTGCCTAAAAACAGTTTACAGGACTAATAACTATAATGAATAAGCAATACAATTTCTGTCTATGATACACTGTTGTAAAGTTTCAAATTTATAAATTTGTTGATTTTACTTTTACAAAAATATTCATTTCATCCATGATATGAGCTGCAAAATTATTTCCAGACCTCTCTCTACAGATTAGAAACTGCAACTGAGTTTCAGTTATACTGCAGGTGCAAATTTTAACTGAACTTCAAAATACAATGTGTTAAAAAGTATTTGTTACAATGTAGGCACCAATGAAAAGAATTTTCTTGGCATATGACACAACAACTTATTCAAGTGTCTGTATTCTTACACAAAGAGGAGGTGATGGTCACTTTGAAAATGGTATTCTTCAAGAACATATTCTAGTATTTGGCAATTGTTCAGATTTTAAAAAATGACTTTGGTGCAAAAACCAAATTGTGCAGATCTCAACAGTAAAACATTAACTATCAAGATGAATTATTATAAACAATTCTATAACTACTGAAAGATAGCCCCAGTTCAGAACTTAGGCAGGCATAATATAGATACTGGGCTTAAAAGAAAAATAGTATTACCCACATAACAGTACCATAAATATAACTGAAAATTAACTGTACAGTCTAACTTACCTTTTATGGACAGAAATCATCCTGTACTATGTTATTTTCATATGAACTAGAAAATGCTCACTTAAATACCCTCTCAAAAAACGAACAAATGATGCTTATGTGCTGATAATTATGAAGAAAAAAGTGTATAAATAGTTTATAGGACATTTTACTGCCACAACAAAAATATGCTGGTGTAAGCTATATTCACACCTTTTGATCAGGTATCACATGATGATCAGTTTTTCTAAGCCCCCATACAAGCATATGATATGTACTTTGAGTTGAAGATTTTAAAAATGAAGCCTGACTTAATGCCTCCAGTATAACCAGAACCCACCCTTGTGTAAACTGCATGGCTTTAAGTTCCCAACCATGTTAATTAAACAAGGGTTAATTAATTGCCTCTTCTGAAAGAGAAGGCAAATACTCCATGCCAGTGGGTACCAATGTTCTACATGTTGCCTATAAATACTTCAACCAGGGCTCTCAAATGTGACCAGCACTGAGCTGCCTGGAATATCACACCAACTTGGTAGAAGAGTCAATATGTTGCAGGTTTCATTTCCAATAGCCTTCAAATCTTGTTGTTTAAGAAGGTCTGACTTATTTCTACCTCCCTACCAACAGTCATTTTAAGAATACATTTATGTTTTTTTAAAAAGCTTTTGAAACTTGATGAGTTCCCAACATTGAATATTTAGGATGACTTGGAAAGACCTGTATGCTTCATGAGTGTACAGTTTAACGAGAGATCCAAACACAAAAGGTATTCATCCTAGTAACTTAAGTAAAAATGATACCTAAAAGCAAAACTGTATCGCAACACTTACTAGAGTACGGGTGAAACTATAGTATTAAAAGTTATTCCTTACAAAATAATCTCTTTAAAATATAAAATGATAAACACCATCACAAAATAGTTGAATAGCTTCATCCAAATCTTCAATGTTGCAAAGATCTAAAAGGCACATGGAGTTCATGAATTAAGCATTGTTAAGCTTGAAGTAGCTTTGGTGAGTTTCTCTGGGTCCGTATGAAATAGAAGCCAATAATATGTGTCTTAGGAGGATTCATCTGCTGAACACCTATAAAATTAAGAAAAACTTAAATTGATAAATAAACCTGCTTCTATTTCTCATCTGTAGGAACCGTGCAATGAAGGAGCAGCCTGCAAACTAAGTTCTTCCTATTTTTCAATACTGGAAAAGAGAGGGGACTGCTCCATTAAAACCCAAGGAATTCTAAGAGGGGCTTTAGTTTATAACTACACATAGGCTTTATCAGAGAATGATCTATGTGAGTATGTGATTTTACAGGCTATATAAGTTATTCCAACCTGATGCCATTGGTATCACAAATGCAAAGAATTATAGTTTCACTGTGAAGGGAGCTAGTGGGATTAAGACTAAATAAAACTGGTATCACTTTATAACTTGCTTGAGATAAGGAGCTGGTGTTGCATGTGTGTATAGGCATACAGAATTTTTTTTAAAAATAATTTTAAAATTAAATGTAACAACTTTATTGAATGTGCACAGTTTAAAGTAACAGGTCAAGACATGGTAGAGATACTGAAGTCAAACATAAGGGCCTTTAGTACTTTGCATTGAGTGCGATCTGAAATTTGTAACTTCTTGAGGGGGTTAAATTTGGGAAATTTAGTTCTGGAAACTATGTGAAAAACTGGTGTGATGAAGGTAGTGGCAAGAAAAGGCATTCCTACATAGTGCTTCCGAGGGCCCAATGTCTACACCGGCTACTCACAGGGAAAGGGGAAAAAACAAGCCATTTCATTCAGTGGAAAGTGAGCAGGCAATGCCTGAAGAGAATTCCAAAAGCTAATGGTTAAGATGAGAAAAGTTTTAGTAATGACAGGAATGACAGAATCAAGGCAATTACACAGCCTTGTAAAGTAACATCCAAAAGAAAATATAAAAGGTTTAAAAAAATGATAGTTGGTTCTTACTTTTGAAATTTTTCAATTAATTTCTTCACCATTTTATCAGTGATGCCAGGACAGGCGGCTTCAGCCACAGCAATACTTTTCTCGAGTTCTTCAATTGCTTGATTCCTGCTAGCATTATTCTCATCCTGCTGTTTAAGCTGAAGAAGATCAATAGGCAGTAGCATTTAAAATTACTGTACTCTTTAAAACAGATAGCCAAAGCTAATGCACCTGCACTTACTTCTGCAAAAGCAGGCGTGATTATCATAGACAAACAGCTCAGCGTTTGCACAAGGTCTTGCTCCTTTGAACAAAATATATAGATTAGACACATGAAGCTAAAACAATCATGTATTTCTTAGTTATTCCATAACAACTAAGCACTGGTTGGAATACTCGCCAAGAAAGACCTCAAAGAAGACAAGTCTGCGTGCTTTCCCTCCATCGCTAATTCCCACCCATCATCTACTCCTAACTTCTACACTTACTATAGGTTTCCATGATCCCACTGGGTTATTCATCTCTTGGTAACTCATTCAAAAACCAATCAATGACCACATAAATAACTTCTATGATGCTTTCCTAATTAGCTCATAACTAATGGCAACTGAAGCAGAGTATGGAAACAGTGAGGTTGACAGCCATTTCTGTGTAGACACTAAAGTCCAACAATTTGGGCCACCACAATCTCAGGACAGAGTTTGACAAGCCCTTTCAAGAGGAATGACCACCCCGTATACATACGGCTCCATTCTGTAGTTTCTTTGGGTCAGGCTTCTTTCGCACGGTAGTAAAGCTCCATTCGGGATGAGTATTATTTTCCCTGCTGGTGGATTCCCTAAAGAGATTGTTAAAGGTATTTCTGTAAGTTCCAAAAGAATTCTGTGCGGTACAAGTGCCAAATGAATGTAGTCAGACTCTGAAGAAGGAGTGAATTATTCCCAAGGTATATGCTGTAATATAAAAAAATCTTTGATCTCAGTTTCCGGTAGATAGGACATTGTACTAAGAATACCAGTGGACTTCAACTCTGAGTGTGCATCGGAAGCACATGTAGAGAAAGCCTCCACTGAATAGAGCAGAATGTCCTGTAGTGTGACTGGTGAGTTGTTTTTTTTTTTTTTTAAATGTCTCCCTGGGTGCCTCCCCTGGGGCACTAAGACTAACAACCAGTAGAACAGGGCACAAAACAACTGCTTTTTTTCTTTTAATTCCTTGCAAAGATTGGACAATTTCTCTCTAATGGAGAACACTGAGACTGTTAGATATTTGATGTTGCCTTTGTGCCAATTCAGCCAGTGAAGGAGTCAATTCTGGGGTGGTTTGCAGCTATTCCTGGCCTAAATGAAGTTAGAGTCCTGGAGGCAAAATGGCAATCAATGTAAATGCTGCTGCAGTTAAAAAAAAAAAAGAAGAAAGAAAGAAAGAAAAAAAAGCAGTGCAATTTTTTTAGGGGCTAGGCTACAAATCATATATAGATAGCTACTATTTCAGTGTACCCATCTGATCAGTTTGGTACATCAGAAAAAATGGGGAAGGGCTAGAGGTTGGGTCTCAGCAGAGCTTTGCAGGTTGCCACCAAAAGATGAGGTTCATAGCTCCTTGTCCCTTTGGGGAAAGGAATATAACACCTTTCATGAAATCTTGTTCCAAAACTTTGTAATATGCTCAAGTAACCACTAGGGGTTAGACCAAGACCACTTTAAACTAGAGCAATTTCCTCGTAAGAAAATCATGTCTCCACGTTCACTGTCCTCTACAGACTGTGATTTTAAAAAATTTTCAGTTTCTGAAGTGAAATCTTAGAATAAGGCTGCATTTTGTGCTAGGGAAACCATCCTGGACCACAGCTAAATGATAAGCACTACTGCAATAGCTACCTACAGGAAAATGAAATGATTTGTACATACGAATCGGAGCCTTCTGAATCAGATTCCTCATCACTGTGTCCCTCTGCCTTCCACCTCTTGAATCGATCAATCAGTTCAGTCAGATAAGAAGTTTTCTTTGAATTTTTTACAATAAATTTGTGTTTCAGAAGTTCTTTAGCTGTAGGGCGCTAAGGATAAAGGGAAAAATGCATGAATATTTCTAGGTTCCTTATGATTACAAGGGGTGTAAGAAATCACTTCAAATATGAGGCTGAAAAGTGCAAAAGAATGTAGACTTGAGGCCAAGTACAGTGCTGGAGGACAACAGCTCTTTCAAATGGCTTAAGGCTACTGAATACAATTCACTGCTTTGATACTAGTTTGGTAAAGCCACCAAGGTGGCTCATCTCAGCCAACAGTAGGCCGGGCCTTTTCAGGAACACAGAAATGCATGGCAGTATTTAGAAATGAAGTAAAAGTCTGGAATCATTTCAATGTAGTTTTATATATCCTTTTATTACATTTACTGTTGATATAAATAACATGAAACTACAAGGCTGTAACTGTTATAAAGTACACACTTCATATGTTCTCCAGATGAATTCCTTCTTCATCAAATACCAGTTCATAATGCATCTAAATACCAGTGCCAGGTACTATGGAGATTTGTCCTCTAGCATTTGATAATTTTATCAGAACACTCACTATCAACTTAAAAAATGTAACAGCAAACAGCCTATTCTGTATTTCTAATCTCTACAAGTCACTGGGCAGCTTTATTTTTAAAGCAGTAAAACAATTGTAATCAAATTTGCCAACAAAATGAGTGGGGCTCACTAGACTTCAGGAAAAAGCAGCTTCATACTGGCACTTCCAAACACTGCATTAAAAACTAGTGAAAGGCAAACACGACTTCATAAAAAATAAAAACACCACTGAGTATTTCACTGAGTGTGTTACACATATACTTTAATAACAATATCCTATCCAATGAACTGTATTTCTCAAATTTCTTTCCCCTGAAACAGAAAATGATCAATTAACGAAGACGCTAGGGACCAATAAAAAGTGAAGGTAAAAGGGAAGGAGAACTAAGTAATTTTGTCATGAAATAATCATAACAAGGAATAGAGAAGAACCAGGTTCCTGGATAGCAGAAAATGTTCACATACTTTGCTTTCCCCACAATGGAAAAAATTTGTATTTGCTCTATGTAGATCTAATAGTAGAAAACAGTAACAATAGCAATATATACTCACAAATGATGGATCTTTGTTCAGGCAAGCATCAATAAACTCCTTAAAGGACTTAGTAAAATCTCCGACAAGAGTTGGAGGGTTGTTTTTTGGAATAAGAAACAGAACTCTCATTGGGTGCATATCAGAGTTGGGGGGCTCCCCCTTGGCTAGTTCAATAGCAGTGATTCCCAAGGACCAAATATCAGCCTATGGTGAGGAAACAGAAACAAGCATCACCTTGAAGCTCCACTTGTACATGATGCTACAAACCGCCTGTGAAACTGAATGCTCCTAGAGTATTAAAGTGTCTCAAGAAAAGTGATGTTAATGCATTTTTAAAAAAAATTTAATTTGTGGACTTAGAAAAAAATTCATCGTGTTCCCTACTTTGTGCCAGGTACCACATTCTGGGCACTGAGGATTCAGGTGGTGAGTAAACCAGACAAAAATCCCGGCTCTCAAGGGCGGATAAAAGACAGCTAAATAAATAAATAAGAGGATGCCAGATGGTTCTATGAAAAAAATAATAAAGCAGGGTGAGGGAATAAAAAATGATGGGGTCAAGGGTTTGCAAATTCGCACAGAGTGGCAAAGGAGGATTCCTAAGTAGGAAATATTTAAGCAGAGACATGACTGAGAGGAAGGTTATTCCAGAAAGAGCGAGGGATGGGCACAAAGGACCTGAGGCCAGGGGGTACTTGCTGTTTTTGGAATAGCAATGACATCACTGTGGCTAAAGCAGGTAGACTGTGGAGGAAGAGGACAGGACACGAGGCTGGAGAAGCGGCTGAGGCTCAAGTCATGGACAGCTTTGTACGTGACAATATGAACTTTGGATATTATTTTATGTAGGATGGAAGGCAGGTGAAGTGAACAGGGCCCAAATATTACCAGTATCAAGACAACTTACAATTTAGCAGCAGTATTTGCTATAACTCTAGCTTTAAAAATAATTTTGAGGGAAACAACATTAAGACATCATTAAAGTAGATAATGTGCTATGTAAAAAATTGAAAACAAAATTATTTGTATGAGGAGCACTTTACTTTTGAGTCATAAGCTGACTGCTGGATAACTTCAGGAGCCATCCAGAATGGTGTTCCCACAAAGGTATTTCTTTTAATTTGTGTATCTGTCAGTTGGCCAGCAACTCCAAAGTCAGCCAGCTTGACATCTCCTTGTTCTGAGAGCAAGACGTTGGCAGCTAAGAGGAAGAAACAAAAAAAGAAGATAACTTAGTTTTCTCAGAATGCCTCTATTGTTCTCAGGATTGTATTAAACTTTTGTGTACCTTTTATGTCTCGGTGAATTTTCTTTTCTGAATGCAGATAATCCAGACCTTTCAAAATTTCCTTCAGCATGGTGGCTATCTGGATCTCATCAAATGGACCAGCTCGCAGCTAAGGGGCAAAATACATACATGGAGGAAAGCTTGAACAATCAAGTTCAAATGTGGTATTATCTTTAAAACATGACTTAGATGAAGCAGTTTTCTTTATTAAACTAATATCTAAATAAATGAGGAAAAAATAAAGGGATGCATGAAAATTAAGTAAAAGGGATGAAAAGTTTTTGGAGGTGATTAGATTTGATCTTGAAAGATAATACAAAGTTGCCTAAGTATTAGCTTCATATCCTGAGGTTCAGATATTTACATCAAGGATTTATTAAGCATGCTTATATAGTGATAGAACTAGTTTTCTTCAGATAGAAAACAAGAAAGAAATCAATCACCTAAGCTTTGGCATTTGTTATTTAGAAGCTATTAAATATTCACACTGAACAGAGTTATAGATCAGATGGCCCATAAGGTTTCCACAGCAACCCAATTTGATCACATCATATAAATCAGCTCTAGCACAATTCTTAGCATTTACATGATTCAATGACATTGTAAAACACACAGTCTTCTTGAGACTCAAATTAAAATTTTTGCCCGAAATATAATAATTAAACTGTTCGGGCTTTCATTTAAAAAAAAAAAAAAGATCAAATCACAGAGGGATAAGGCTTTTCAAATAAATGTAACACATTCCCTTTCTTTCCCCATCCCTGTACCAAAGCCAGGAGTTCCAACTGGAATACAGGGAAAGCAATGATTAAGTTTCTGGAGAACTTGTAATGGAATATCTGAAAATCTCTCTTTAAAATAAATGGTTATTTTAAAATTCTGGTACCTCATAAAGCACAAACAGTGAACTGTACAATATTATTACAGGAAAGGGTGGGAATCTAAACTCAGAGCTGTGGCAGTTCTGTTTGCTGGAAGGAGGGAAGCGGTGGTGAAAATCAAACATTGCCCACTCTGCCTCATACTGGGAGGGATTCACAGCTCTTTGGCACCTTGTGGATTTCATCTTTCATGAATGCCATATTTATTCTGAATAAAGGGCACTTTCATGTTGAAATTTCACAGCTTAAAATAGAACCTATGCTTCAGTCTCACCATTTAATATTAACTGTGGACTGGATATAGAGTATATTCCCGGGTATTCCTGGTTCAATAGGTGCCTTTCCTGAGTAACATTATCTATTTACTTTCAAATCTATCAATTTCTACTCCAAAAGTTTCCATTTAAACAATAATGTTTGAAGTTATTCTAAAAGGCAAAAAAAAAAAAAAAAAGATTACTGGCAGTAAAATTCTGAGGTATTACCAAATAACTGGTAGACATTATTCAAGGAAGATTAGCACTCAGTTTTACTGAGTTGATCATAAAATGTTGACAATGGGCCAAAGAAGGTTTACTCTCAATGACTTGATTGGCAAGGTCCACGTAAGGGGTACTAGCGATCATTCTGAAGGACTTCTAGAAATGACACTACTAAACCAGTATACTCCTAATACTGTTTTTTTTAACATAAGTAAAAATACCTGAAAAAAGGGCTCTTGACAGCCCTTTAGCTTATCTGGTGTATTTATGTTCGGTATAAAAATTCATAAGTCAAATCTCAATTAACTGGATGCAGGAAGAAATGGGAGTAGGGTGGGATGGTCGGTTATTAGATAGAAAACTGTCCCAAACTGCAAAATAAAAATGTTTCCTTAGGCTGATAATTATATTAGAAAGAGAGAAAAATGGGAATTGGAGCCAGAAGGAAGGTAAAGTTGACGGAATACAGATTGTTTGTATTTCCGATACAATCTCTGGAGAGATACCACCAATATCTTGGTCCACTGTCTTTGGAATACATAATTAAACTTCTCTCCAATTGAACACCTTGCCACGCCTATAATAGCTAACACCCCAGGCTCCGGGTGCCTTACTGGTCTTGGGTAATTTGCCTCTCTTATTAACTAAAGACAAATTCAAGAGTGACACTCGCTAGTTCTATATTCTCCTCCCTGCTCAACTCCACCCTTCCTTCAGGTGGTGCAGGGAACCTGGAACCTATCCCTTTCCCTGGGGGTCACCCAGTTACAGTTAGGCTGGGCAAATGTTTGCCATTACTATCAGTGATCCTGATAAAAGCAGTAGATCACCTATGGCAGTACCTACAAAGCAGGGGGGGCAGCGAAGGCAAATTTGTGATATACTTGAAAAGGCTTCCGAATATTTAAAAAGTGGAAGGAGAACTGTGAAGCAATTGTGTGCCTTCTTGGGGAGCTAATGAACAACTCTTGAATAATAAATCTATGTGACAAGACACTAGAAATGAGATCATTTCACTTTAAGAGGAGAACATTATGTGACTCCGTTCTCACGAAGGGTTATTATAACAAACTGCACCAGTTGTATTTGCTCACTTTCAGAGGAAAGGGAAAAAAAAAAGGACACAAGCTTTAGGGCCCTCCATGGTGGTGCAACGGGTTAGGATGCAGCACTGCAAGCTAGCTTCAGCTGCTTCAGTGCAAGTTCAATCCCAGGCCCTGGAGGTGATCCACATGGCACAGCAGACCTCTCCTGTCTCACCCGCTGTTCCCCTCAGCAGTGTACTTTGTTGACCTGCCTGTTCTGCTCCCCACTCTGTTTCTGGTGAAACCTCTCACTGCCCTGCACGTCTGCCTGTACCCCAGTTCTGTATGTATAAATAAATCTTTTTTAAAAAAGGAAGACTGAATAAAAAAAATAATAAAAATTAGACTTGAAACAAGGAAGAATTACCTAATTTAGCAAATGATTATAGTGTGATGAATTCCTAGAAGGAGATAAAGAGCTTAATTACCATTTCTTTCAGATAGCTGAAGTAGGGCCCTGTCTAAAAGGAAACAAATCAACTATAGTCATTACTGTTCATAGGATTATTTGAAAATTTGGAGTCACTGGTAGTTGAGATCAAACCTTTTAAAAGTATTTCACCACTTTCATTTAGGAAAACTCATTTCCATTAAAAAAAAGAATTCAAATATTATTCAGTGACCTTAATCATCAAAACATATTTTTAGAATCAGAAACTTAAAACCAGAAATATGCTAATAAAGTACAATTCAATAATATCAAAGAAGTAAGAAAGCTTAGATAATTAAATACAACTTCTTTGTTTCAGAGGCCATCCAAATCAGAATCCCTGTGTCTGGTTGATAGTGCCACATTCATCTATGAACAAAGCAGGTCCTGTCCCTCACACTGCGGCAGCCAGCCCTGGGGTCAGTGACCACAGCAAGCTGCCCCTAGTGGTTCACAATGAACGATAAACACAATGTTGTATTAGTAAAGAGTTTAAAGTGGGGGGAGCACATCATTGATAGACTCATACTAAAAGGAAACACGAGCAGTGATTCTCAAAGGCATTTTTGGGTATGGGCACCTCTTCACATGGTGGAAATTTCCCTGCACACTGGAAGGTTCTAGCACCTTGATCCTGAACACGAAACTAGCACTTCTAAGTCATGTGGTAACCAAAACTACCATCACATTTCCAAGTTCCTTATACAGGCCAGAGAGAATTCTAGAGAGAACTGGGTCTATAGGCCTACTTGCTGAGATCCACAGAAACAACTTTTAGTAACAGTTATCTAAATTAGGTATTACTGCATTTTTTAAGATTTATTTATGCATACAAGAACTGGAGCTTAGGCCAGAGGTATGGGTGTGTGAGGGTGGTAATGTGAGAGGATTTACCAGAGACAGAGCGGGGAACAGAACAGGCCGATCTATTGAAGTACACTGTGAGATCTGCCGCGCCATGCAGGTTAACTCCCAGGCTGGGGATTGAACTTGCACTGCAGTGGTTGCCAATTAACTTGACAGTGCTGAGACTTTAACACCCGCACCACCAGGGAGGCCCCTAGATATTATTTTAATACAACAAACACACAGTCTTTTCAGGGAGAAGCTTATAGTCAAACTTTAAATTGACAAGGACCGTTACCCACCCATCTCTAATTTGGGAGGTTTTGTTTTACTATGCTATGTGCATTTCTGTTTGTTCTTAGAACAGCAGCAACATATTCCAACCTGGAATACAGCTCAATGTAAACAAGGGTAGTGGTCCTGAGGAAAGAGTTTAATCTGAACACATTAACTAACGTAGCCACTTGGTTCACCCAAAACTCACTGCTTCCTCCAGTTAAATGAAAAAAGTAAAAGTATGGATGTGTGTGTATAATTATATAACAATACTTACAAGGTCCAGTGCTGAGCCGCCACCCAAGTATTCCATTATTATCCATAATTTTGAACCCTATAAAAGCCATGAAACAATTAAATAATTATAAACTCGAGTCAAATCACACAGCAGCATAAATGTTCGGCCTGACATACTGATTTTCTAGTTCTAAAATACAGGTTTCAAACTGATAGCTTGGAACACAGAATATGTTTTTCCATGGAACATTAAAATGAAAGTAAAGTTCAGAATCTTCACATGCCCCCCCCACACACACACATTTTCAGCCTGTGGTATTGCTTAAAAAAAATGACAACTTATCATGTCTGATTCTTGGACTGAGTGACTTTCACCCAAGCAAGAAAATATGCCAGAACTTCAAGTGACCCTTTTGGTGAGTGATACTGAAAGGAAGATGTACATTAAAGTGTGAAGCAGCCAATGGACACTTGTGCAAACTTTAAGTAGAACTTCGAGATTTCCCTGGGTGACTCGAGACTGAGAGAACACAGGGCATTTTGACTTATTTCCATTTTGGCATTTGTTTTAATGTCCTTAACATCTTTTATGAGCTATGATTAATAGGCACTTTTGTTATAGCTATAGGATCTAATAAGAATATTGTTTTCTTTCCTCTAAGGTAAATGGGTAAGAGCAAAAAAAGTGTATCGTTTAAAGAGGATATGATTACTTCAGCAAGAATTAACTTGACTAAGAGCTGTACATGAGGAAATGGTGCTCGGGGGCCAGGTACTTGTGAAAGAATTCTAAAACAGTTGCATTCTCACACACACACAGAGTTCTATCAAATAAAAATTGGAACAAATCATGAAGTACTTTTAGTTTACCGCTATAGCTTCAAACACCCAGGATATCCCCTCTCTGTACCAATTCATGAGTGTATTCTCTGAATTGTTTTGTGGGACCACACACTTGACCAGGCATGGTTTTATTGGGATCCCATGGAAGCAAGTTGTGAATGAGTGTGCTTCAAAAGATCATTTTTTAAAGTAAGATATTTGGAACTTTGAAAGCAAGCATTTTCCCCAAAACAGTATCTAGTTTCCTGGGCTGGTCCCCCTCCCCTCCAAAAAAAAAAAAAAGTCAATCTAATGCAAAGACATCAGTAGCATAGCACACAGAGAATCAGAGAAGTGACCTATGATTTTTACTTTGTTTCTAGGGGAAGCGATGCTGCCAAAGGAAAGTAGGTTCAGCGCTATGCTGTAAGTCGGGGAGCCAGAATACATTTCTCACCTTTCTAGCACCCCTTGTGGGAGGACGATTGCTTCTCAAGCTACTGCTGGTAACCCTCAACTCTACAATCCATGAAAGCGCTCAGGAGCTCCATTCACAATTTCCAAATCTCCATGAGGCTGGGGTTTTATAGCGACAGAAAATGGACTCCAGAACATGCCAGTGAATGTTTGTGTGACAGTGCAATGTAGGGAATATGTCATAGGGTTAGAGCCAAGAGGAAGGCGGCTCAGGTTAATTAAAATGAAGGTGTTCTCCATGGACATCTTCAATGCCCTTCAAATTTGGACCTTTTTAGGTGTCCAAAAATAATGCAATCATAAACCACCTGCTCTAGGAAAACAGTATGCAGTTCCCCCAAAAAGTAAACACAGAATTACAATATAACCCAAAAACTCCACTTGCGAGTATATCCCCAAGAGAATTAAAGTCAAGAACTCAGGTATCTGTACATAAATGTTTATAGAACCATTCTTCACAATAAGCAAAAGGTGGAAACAATATAAATGTTTACCAACTAATGAATGGATAAACAATGGAATTTTACTGATACTTAGAAGAAGAAAGTTCTGATACATATTATGATATGGATGTACCTTGAAGACATCATGTTGATGCAGAAAAATAGAAAACCAGTAGTCCTGCCCACCTGTTACTATGCAGGTGCTTCTTTCCACCCTAGGCACTAACATAACCAGTAACGCAGTCATAGAAACTCCTATATGTATCAGACTGCTGTAGGGAATATCGGAAGCACAGACCTGAGGGTAAAGATACAGACATTGGGCCCACTGTGAGATTGTACACAGTTAAATCAGCAGCAGACAGGCCACCCCACAAAGGAGTGGGCCCTCCCAAAGAGAAAAGGATATGTCAGGGCAGTAGTCCTGCCCACCTGTTACTATGCAGGTGCTTCTTTCCACCCTCTGTAGGGCAGCAGCCTCCTGCCTGCCTATGGCCTGTACCTGCCAGGACTTCTCTACACTGACCTCTCTCAGCGGAGGCCGTGCAGACAACCATGAAGGCCTCTCTCAGCACACCTGTCTCTTAGAGGCAGCTCTGCCTGCCCGCTGGTGCCTATGCAAGTGTCCATTACACCTCTGTCCTTTCCCTAATAAACCTGCTCTTTAAATATAAAAAAAAAAATGAAGGGGTTCTTATTTTCTTTTTGATATTGACACTAGGAGAACGTATGAGAGGAACAGTGTCAGCCCCCCAAAGCCCTCAAATCTCTACAGCCACTCTCTCCTACTCCAACAGGTCAGCTTGACCTGGAGAAAGAGCTAGGAAGATTTTACAGTGGCAGGGTCTACAGTGGGACAGTAAGGAAATAAGTCCCTGCGGGAACAGGGAGGGGGAGTGTTGAGCACTGAAGCATGGAATCTTGTTTTTATGTATAGAAACTAGGCACCAAGGACCTGAGCACAGGGAACCCGGTGGATTTCCTTCAAGAGAAGAAAAGGGCATTTCTCACTGTGCTGTGGGGGCTGAGAGGGTTTTCTTTTGATATCAGTTTGGTTCTGGTAAGTACTATATGCCACCTTATGAACTCAAACCTCTGCCCATTAAGTGGACATTTAGAAGAAAAAGATCTGAGAAAATATGCTTGTCAAGCTGGCAATTCGACGTGAATGGGATGCATGTTTTCCAATTAAAAATGATGTTTTTTTGTGGGGAGGGGGCATCAAGTCAAAACCTAAACTTAACAACTGTCTGTTCTTCACTGCTAAATATTCACAGAAAGCTTGAAATATTATTAAAGTCCTGACTATGTAACTTCCAGGCCTGAAAACAAGGCATCCTTCCTCGTAGCAAGTGAGCTGTTCCATGGAACAAGGTCTCTTCTGAGACAGGTAGGGAACCAGCTCCCTGCAAGCTTTCTGGCTACTTCCTTCTGATAGCCACTTTTGGAAGCAGGCCTCACTGGAGATGGTCACAGGCAGGCAGGCCCGGGGCTGCCAGGCAGGCCTGTGGACAGAAGCAAGGCCCACATGGGCATAGGAGCACAGGCAAAGTGGTGGGTCCCCTCACTACTCAGGGAAGCTTAATCCACTGAAGCTCTTCTTATCCCCAGTGGGCCTAAATGAAAACACCCCAAACTAAACTGTAGACAAAATGTTTGTGTCCTTCTTGAGGACTATAACTTCTATCTTTGATTCTTTAGAAAAGATGTTTGGATTAGAGAATGCCAATAAGTCTGTTTGGTTTGTTTTTAAATAATTTAAAAGCCTAAGATGGTATCTATATAATGGTTTACAATTCCAGAGAGCCTGGTGACTGTAAGCCATAATCATATATCCGGCCTATTTAAGCATAGGAAGTCCCTGAAGGAAAAACACTTCTCCAGTTATAAAATGATCCATGCATTTGAACAATGGTTTGGGGGAGTAAGTTTAAAGTCCTGCATCCACATGGGTGGTCAGGTCGGGGTTAGGAAATGGTCTCTGATCCAAAATTCAGGCAACATAAAGAGTAAGCACTCGAGAGTGGTACAATTCCCTGGGAGGCCTAGGAGCCTTAGGCTAACAAACGGCCAGTGCCTGACAGATCTTCCCTGTCACTCTGCAAGCTCCTTGAGCCCCCACTGTTAGCTGCTAACACAGCCACCTGTTCAAATGGGGTGGTAAATACTTACTGTGGACCTTGGAAATTTATCTGTTCACAGGAAAAAATATTTTAGACACCCACTCTATGCATTTGAGAGATCATTATTGTACTTTATATCGAGTACATGTTGAATTAAGTGGCTTGGTTGCTCAGTCAGTCAGTCTTAACACTGACTATATCAACTAGCATGTATAAAGGAAAGAAGCAAGCCAAAAAAAGACAACTATTGTGTTGTTCTCCTGTGAGGGACACAGAATAGTGAAGTTCACTGAGAAACAAAGTAGAATGATGATGGCCAAGGACTTGGTGAGGAGGGGCATGGGGTCAGTTTACTGGGTACAGAGTGTCAGCTGAGGAAGATGAAGAGGTTCTGGAGATGGTGCTGGTGATGGTCGCACAACAGAGTGAATGAATTAACTGTACACTAAAAATGGTGAAAATGACAACTTTTATGGCATGTATTTTACCACAATAAAAAGCCAGCCAGATGAATAGAATGGCAAAGGAGAGTTTGCTTTACAAAGAATATGGTCAGATAATTTATCACATTTGAATTATTTTCTTCCAGTCTATAATGACTTTTTTATATCCTATGCTCACCTCCCAACCCCCACCAAATTCACTCAGGATCCAGTTCAAAGCTACTCCCCAGTTTTAGGGCTACTGCACAGATAAAAGAGTCAAACTAGACAAGTTAGTTATGCCTATCTGGGGCTAAGGAAGGAGGTTGGAACTCGAGACATGAATTTAAAAGTTGTAACAAAGTGGATGAGACAGACCAGGGCAAGTTATGCAGAATGAGAGGCCTGCAAACAGTTAGCACTCAACAAATAAATGCCTGCTGAAATGAATCTAACTTGGGATATCTTAGAGGTGTATTCTAGGAAGTTTAAAGCTAATCTTACTTTCAGGGAAAAAAAAACTATTTCATGCATAACTGGTACATTTATACTATAAGGGAACTTTTTAAATTTAAAATATTAGAAATAAATGATATAAACACTAACAATGCATTTTCTACAAGAGTTCTAAATGTGAATAAATAAGGGCTATAAGCAACCAATAAAATAGTCAATTCCATGTCAGTAGCCATTTTCAATGCAATATAGAACAGCCCATTTGAAATAGGTTTTATTTAATATTTTTAGTCAGTTACCAAAAATAGCTTATGTGTTACAGGTGACTTAAAATGGCAAGAGTTCAAGTTTGCTCCAGAGTGGGTCTGGAATTACTAGGATTCAATTCAGAAAGAGTAAACCAGAATTAGCAAACAAAACAAGCATTCACACACACACACACACACACACACACACACCCCAACACCATCACCACCACCAACAACAACAAATTCCTGATGCTGCAGACTATGAAGGGGGACTTAGGAAGAGACCCTGAAACTTAGGAACCACTCCTACAATTCTTAAACAAGAACCTACATAAGCTTTTAAAGAAAGAATAAGACACACACACAAAATATATATAGCACATAGATTCTAACGATTTTGTTTACAGTAAAATAGTCAAAGCTGACAGAAGGAAACTGGATAAAATTTACCAGTAGTATCACCTCTTCTTAGAACAACATTCTCCCTCCAAAAGTGGATAGAGATGACTACATCTTCTTTGTGCTCCCTCTTTAACTTGATTACTCACAAACCTGCACTACTTTAGTATAAATTGGTACTGTGAACTCGTTAATGGCAAGAGCAGGTTGCTCCATTTTATATCTCCAGCATCTAGTACAGTGTATGACACATAGTGACTGGCTGTAATGGTTCATTCTAGTGTACATTCATTCCATATTCATCAAATTCATGCCATGTTATAATAAATCAGGCATTGTAAAATGGCAGTGAAATTGATGGTTGGTTTCTATATCAGTATTAACTGATACACAGAGATTATCCTCAGGTTGTTTTGGTCAGCAGAGGATAAAAAAGTAGCATTAATTTCACCAAACCCACAGCTTGATGAGTTAAAAACACACTTTGACCTAGAGATAGATGTAAAATAAACCATATAAATAAACAACCACCCCCATTAAATCCTGAAAGTCTGAGACCTAACAAATACTGCTTTCCTTGAAAAATTTCAACCACTTCAAAAAATCCTCACTTTACAACAACTTAAACTCTACCCAGAGTAAGGTCTTTTCTTATTTATTCCTCACATTTCAATAGTCACAAGTCTTGACTTCTGACTTTGGAACCCAAGAAGAACTCTTGCATTTTAATAGTCAAGTGGTTTTTGTTGTGTGGGTGTATAACATCACCATCTGCTGGGACTAAAAATCCCTCTCTTGAGGGTGAGGGGAAGGACCTTGTATTACTCAACCTAATTCCATTTCAATAAAAATGTAGTGTGTGTATCATATATGCCATATCCTGGGTTAAATGATGTAAAAACCAAGACTAGTCAAACTAATCTCTGTCTTTATGAACTCACAACCTGGTAGGAGAGGAAGACGTGGAAGAACTACCATAACTCACCGGAATATGTGATATACTTACATATTCCATCAGCTCTGAAGCTGAGACAGACTGGACATTCAAGAATAATGTGTGAAAGCCCAGGGGGATATCTCTTTCCTGACAAAGGATATGTCTCAAGAACCAGCTGCATTTTTTGCAACTCCATCAAGCCAAAAGTTCAGGTGTGGAAAATGGCACAGCAGAGCACTGGGACACATGCAGGATACAACGGCTAAATCTAAAAACAGTCTATTTGGCGCTATAAGCCAAGCTGAATACTGCCTGGAGGCTGAAGACTGCCAAATACTAAATTAAGACATTGCTTTCAAAAAATAGAATTAAGAAAAGAAAGAAAAGCTTATAATGAAAATACCTTGTGACTTAAATAGAATAGCATGCAACTTACCTTCAAATATGATCCATAGTATTTTGTTACATATGAACTGTCGCACTGGCTCAAAACAGTTATTTCTTGCTGGATATCTTCAATTTCATCTTCGGCTTCCTCGAGGTCTATGATTTTTATAGCAACCACTTGCTGCGTACGATTATCAATTCCTTTAAAAACTTCTCCAAAGGAGCCTTTCCCAATGCGTTCTAACTTTGTGAACAGTTCTTCTGGGTCAGCTATATTATTCTAAGGTAGTGGGGAGAGACAGAGGAAAGAGCACACATGGTTTGCATCAAATTTGTTTAACGAAGGGAAATAAGACACATAAGACAATAACACGTTTTTAGTGCATACCAACTCCCTTGACTGTCCACGTGTGCATTGTTAGAACAACTGTAATCCCAAGTGGCTAGTCAGTTCATATTATACTGCATCACCCACACTAATTCGGCTCAGCCGATTCTGTTTCATAAACAATCTGATACAGCAAATGTTGTCTCTGGTACCTTTAAAGGCTAGGGACACTTTTTAGAATAAAGCAGCTGATTATACATTTGATCAAGGTTTACCAAGTTGAAGAAAAAGCAAGAAAAACATCAATCACTTCCACACAGCTTGCATTTGCCACATTTTTATATTGGGACTGAAACTTCTCATGAAAAAGCTTAATTTTCAGAGTGGATGGAACCATACAAACAAGGTTTTCATTAGTATTAACTACCTAACTACCTAAGGAATAGAGATTCCTGCTCAACAATTCCTTATCAACTCCTGAGTCTTGGACAGATAGATTATCACCCAAGTTCTAACTTTCCCCTGTGCCATCTTCTTAAACCAAACCATCCTGACTTTACTAAGACAGATTTTCTTTCTGCTTTTAGTGCAAGAGCAAAAGTTAGGTAAATAAATGGGAAACATCCTGAGTAATGCAATGAAAAAATCCATATATATAAAGAAGGGATTATTCACGCCAATCTTCACAACTGCTAAGAAAATCAAGTCAAGTCAGCTCACTCTCTACCCAAATCAAATAGGCTTTCAAAAACATGAAAAATTAAAAAAAAAATTATCTCTACTGCAGACTTACAATTTACCACTATATCTGTGTTTGCACTATGGTTTCAAAAATGCAACTCAGGAAGGAGCTCTGAGTTCTGGAGCAGCAGAGAGAAAGAACCGCTAAACCAGTTTCATAGTTACTTACAATTAATGGTAGATGATTTACAAATGCCTCACAAAAACAAGGTTGTGAAAATGAAAACCTCATAGATCCACCTCAGGACATCCTTTTGCTGTGCTTGGATTTCGACTTTTCAGCTAAAAGTACACTGGTACTAATGGACAGAATCATTACCACTGAAACAACAGTAATGACCTTTTGGTATGGAAATATTCATAGGAAGTCCAAAAAGGAAAAAATATAAGATCATCTTGCTTGTCTTCTTTCAAAAGCCAGAGGCAAATGGCGGAGACTTCTTGTATTCTGAAATTCCATTTTAAAAATATAAGTACAGGAACTCCCTGGTTAAATGGGTTAACGCACAGTACTATGAAGCTATCACAGCCGCTGCAGCACGGAGTTCGATCCCCAGCCAGGGAGCTGACCCACATGGAGCAGCAGACCTCTCCTTACATGCCCGCTGCTCCCCTCAGCAGTGTATTTCAATGTATCTGCCTGTTATGCTCCCCACTCTGTCTCTGATGAAGCCTCTCTCACACACACACTCCCCCCCCCCACACACACCTCTGGCCTGTACCCCAGTTCAGTATGTATAAATAAAAAAATCTTTTAAAAAAATGCAAGTACACAGGAGTCTCCCCAAACTATTCTTTCAACACTCGAATGTATTTGAGAGCACTCAGAACTACTTCTTGGGGCATCATGTAGACTCCAGTCTTGAGATCTATGTGTGGCAACCACAGAGGAGACAGATCTACAATTTGTATTCTTGCTGACAGGGAACTCACTACCCCTCTTTTCCCCAGACAAGCATGTGGCTCTCTCTTAGCAGCACACTGAAGTTGGATGATTTGGAGACAAAAATAAAACCAAGAGGGCTTAGGTGTTTACATATCCATACCAAGCCTTTTAAGATCATTTCTAAAGTTAGTAGCTACCCTCAGGTAAGCCTAGAAATGCAATATTTACCAAAGCCCATACAACATACCCATATTCTGGGTATTTATTCTTGAACATCTGTTTTTACAAGATGGTCTATGTAATATTGGGATATGTGAACGGTTAAGATTTTACTGATGACACTATGGGGTAACAGGTAACACTGGCAAAGAGTAAAAGTTTAATGCTAGTGAGTGATTAGGAAATGGGTGAAAATTTGGGGGGGACGTACAGAGGGAAAAAATGTTGTCCTTGATCTTAGGGTCTCTGGCTAAGTCTACAAATTAAACATATATGACACATTCACAGGAAAGAAGCATATGAATGTGTGGTTAAACCTGTGAGCTCTTAGGCTGGCTTGATACAGGGTGGAAAGTTGAAATAGGCCATAGGTATATTTTAGGGATAGTCAACTGGGACAAACAGCAAAATTTGTTTGTTCATATTCTTGGCATCCCCCTTCCTCCATTTCTAGAAAGGTCCTTTCACATGAGGGTCTTATGAACAGCTTCAGGGGAGAATGTAGGGGGTAGGTATTGTGGGTCACAGGGATTTTCCTGCTTCTTTCACATCACTGGTGGGTTTTTATTTCTTTTGAAGGAACTTAATTTATTCTTATATACATATTTTTGGGTGGTGTGTCTTTTGCCCCATGGGGGGTGGGTTAGGAACAAGTGATCAAGAGAAACAAGAAAATTATAGACAGAATCAGAATTTGCCTTAGAGTTCTAGCAGAATGGAGACATGAAGAGCTAAGATTTGGGAAAGACAAAAGTCTAGTTTCTTTGAATCTGAGGTAGCTAAGGAATCCCTCTAGTATGGAGCTGAGAGAGAAAACAGTACACTTAGTGAAAAGAAGGTGTATGTGACCAGAAAGGGTTAAGCACAGGTATTCTAAAAAAAATCTTTTAAGAACCAAGAACTAGGTTGAGCAACACTGACCTCAAACTAGGTTTTGTACTCACTCCCCTACAGTAACAAACCCCCCACCGAGAGCACTCTCTGATGTCTATCAGTGACTTGCTGATGAGGAGGGGTACTAGGAAATAATGAGTAAAATGTGTGCTAGCAAGATGTTTTATTTCCTTCAAACTCTCAAGTGGCAACTCCAGTCTTGGGATGCCCCAAAAATCAAACTAAAAGCTTTAGCCTAGTAATGTTTTAAAAACTAGAGATACTTTCAGTTAACTACCTATTTCAGTGGTCCAGATTAGCTCTCCCAAGCTAAAGAGGAAAAGTTTTTTTCTGGATTTCTTCCAGGTCACTGCTATTAGTTGTCATCAAACAATTAGAATGGGTCCAAGGTCCCTTAAGTTAATGAGTTTTACCACACTATCTATGTTAAGATTTTTCATTTGCCAGGAGAACCTGGCCTGAAAGTTTGGTGGATTCTTCCCAGTCATAATACTTCCAGAAGTAAAAAAAATAAAAATAAAATAAAAATAAATCAAAATTAACAGCTGCATATCCCTTAGCACGGCCTGAGTTTGAGACCACGGGATAGTTATCTTTTCAAAGTGTTATATATGGTCCAAGCACAGCTGACTTCTCCCTGTGTAGAACTGTTAACAACCAATCCACCATCTCAGCACCATCACTGAGCACTTACTTCTCTGCCCCAGGCCAACACCACCAAGGTGAGGTCATTTATGACAAAATTATGGCAGAAATGAGGAGAGGTCAAGACAGAAAACAGACATCCTAGAATTAAAAGAATTACAGATTTTTTAAGGTGAGCAGGAACTTAGCAAACATCTGATCCAAAACCTATGGGAAATATACTGTAACCTAGAGAGGTTATAAATTGTTAAAAACTATCAATTAGCTAACTAATGGCAAAGCTCAAGCTTGAGCCCAGCTCTTCTGGCTCTTAAGTCTGAGGACTACAGCTTAAGTTAATTTATAAATAAAACTGTACTCTTTTGCTATAAAACCACAACATTATTTTTCATCACAGATCATACAGTTGCCCAATGTCTATTTAGTCATATCTTCACCTTTATATAATATTCCCTCTCCCTTTATTACAGTAACATTAACTTACACTGCCGTATTTGACTTAGGGTAACAACTTCAAACTTGTTGGATGTATGTAACCACCCACCCCCACCATCCCCATCGTCCTTTACCATCGTTCTTTACTGTGCCTATTTGTGCCCTTCCCACCCTCTCTCTCTTTAGAGTAAGTAGCCTCAGTCCTGCAGTCATATTTCTAGGGTTTATTTTGGTTTAGTTTTTAGTTTTAGTTCCTTTTTTGCTGTTGTTGTTCGTTGTTTGCTTTCACTCTCTTCCACGACGAGTGGAATCATTCAGCATTTGTCTTTCTACTTCTGATTTATTTTACTTGGCATCATCCCCTCCTACTCTATCCATGTTATTGCAAATGGCAGGAGTTCATCTTTTTTTATATAGCTGAGTAGTATTCCACTGTATATGTACATGACATGCACTGATCTGGTGATGGGAATTTGGCTTGTTTCTGTAACTTACTGTAAATGGTGTTGTAATGAATACAGGACTACACCTATTCCTTTCAAGTAGCGATTTGGTATTCTTTGGGCACGTACTTAGTTGTGGAATTTCTGGATTAATTGGTAGATCTATTTTTAACACTTTGAGGCCCCTGTACCATTTTCTATAGAGGCTGGACCAGTCAACACTCCCACAGTGTACAAGGGCCCCCTTTTCTCTGCACCGTCATCAATGTTTTTTTGATTCTGGTCTTTTTGATATTGGCCAATCTCACAGGAGTGAGGCGGCATCTCATTGTAGTTTCTCTTACATTTCCCTGACTATAAGCAGTGCTGAGCATTCTTTATGTGCCCAAGAACTATCTGTTTGTTCTCTTTGGAGACATGTCTGTTGAGCTCTTCTGCCCATTTTTAAAAATTGGATTCTTTGTTTTCTTTTTGTTCAATTGTATGAGTTTTTGTGCATCTTGGATATTAGCCTCCTGTCAGATGTATGATATGCAATTTTTTCCCTACTCAGTATGGTGACTTCAGTCTTTAGCGGTACAGAAGCATTTTAGCTTGATGTAAGCGCATTCACTTATTTGGTTGCTGTTGGAGTCAAGTCCCCACGGACATCCCTGAAGTCAATGATGCAGACTGTTCTACTCATGTTT